TTCGAATAAAAATCCCCAAATTTGGGAACCTAAATCTGCTGATTCCCTACAAATTCCCCTCAATACTATTTTAATCAAAGAAAAAAGTTTCAACTATTTAAACAATATTTATTTTTTAACCTTTTTTCATACGTTTTATGCAAGCATTTTGCTCGAAGAGTTATTAAAGTTGACACTGCCGCCCAATTTTTTTATCCCCTCTCTTGTTGCCATTAAAGATAATACAGTATCTGTATTCAGCCGATTGCGGTTTTCCGTTTTTAAATATCGAAGCGCACTAAATTTTCTTTCGACCGATGCAATTGAAAATGGCAGTATGAGCAACAAAGACGTAACAATTTTTATATTTGGAAACATGTGTTCTCCTGCAGCATATTTAAGGCGAAACGCTTTACCCCAGTAACTTTCGGCTTCGATGAATTTCATGAATTTCAAGCCCATGTTGATCAAAATCTAACAAAGCGTGAGTTTGCCATTCGTCATCTAATTTTTGTGCGGTCACAAATTTATAAAACACAAAAAATGTTGAGCTTCTGATAGATTTACAGCGGATATAATAGAAAATCACTGGTTGCAAAAATTTTGAGGTTTTGAGGTATGTCTGACGAAAAGATGTGTTGTAATCTCCTGAATGCTGCCCAGCCGATTTGAATCCGTCGAAGTTGGACTTACCTAGTCGGACTATTTGTCCCAGGTAAACATATTCGTCAACAACTTTGAGCTTAGTGCTCCCAACAACTACCGGCATAGGTATGATATGGACGGTCCTCCAACGATTCTGCCATAAGGACGATATCGTTGGAAAATCGAATGTGGGTGATGTACTCGCCATTGACGTTAATACCGTATCTTTTCCAGTCCAGTAGCTTGAAATCGTCGTCCAATGCAGCGGTGAAGAGTTTCGGGGATATTGGCACCGCTGAAGGGACTCTAGTACCGCCCAAAATTTGACAAAATTAAAGGCTCTACCCAAAGTCCACATACGCAAGACCGAAGAGTACAATCTGCCTCTTTGGGAAGATTGTACTCTTCGGTCTTCTGTACAATTTGCCGAAAGGTATGTATGTGTTCTATGGTGCTAAAGCCTTATCGGAAACTTACTTGCTCGGGAGGCTAGAAGTCGTCGAGTCTGTGTGCGAGACTATTCGTAATGACTCTCGAAAACAGCACGTAGACGCGGCTCAGAAGGGAAATCGGTCTGTAATTCTTCAAGAGAGCGTTATCGCCTTTCTTGAAGAACAAGACCACCGCACTTCTGCTCCACGCCTCCGGAGTAGTGCCACCACGGAGAACGGAATTAAAGAGCTTCTGAAGGACGTCAAGTACCGGTTTTCCACCCGCTTTCAGAAGCTCCAATTTAATTCCATCTTCACCTGGGGGGCCTTGCCGTTTATAAGTAGCTGGAGAGCCATTCTAATCTCTCTCAGACTATCGTCCGGGATATCTTCGGAATAGTGTCGGATAAGACTCGCTCTTGGATCGTTACTCACACTTGCGTGTGGCTCCAACGATGACGTGCACAGGACGGAATAAAAGAGCTTCTGAAAAGCTTAAAGTATCGGTTTCCACTCGCTTTCAGAAGCTCCGCTGTAATTCTATCCTCACCCGGGATTGGCCGTTTTTAAGTTGCTGGAGAGCCATTCTAAACTCGCTCAGACTGACGTCCGGGATATCAACGGAATAGTGTCGGATAAGATGGATCGTTATTCATACTTGCCTGTGGCTCCAACGACGACGTGTACAGCTGCCCATAAAACCTTTCAATCTCACTCAAAATCACAGGTGTCCCGGAAACGATGTTGCCCCTTCGGTCTTTGACAGTTGGCACTTTCTGGCAGACTGATCTCTGGCATCTTTGCCTTTGGAGCCCTGGTTCCGCTCGATCGCTTCCTCAATACGATTAGTATTAAAGTTTCGTAAGTACCGCCGCATGAATTTGGAGATCTGCCTGTTCAGTTGCCTGTATGCTATCAAATCTCCCATCAGTCTCCCATTAACACCGTATAGTGGGTTGTGGAGGAATGAATGGCTCTAGCTATATCCTCATACATTTCCTTCACCTCTTCATCGGGCTTTGCCAAATTGGTGCGTAAACCTATATGACCTTCAGCGAATACCATTTGGTGATTCTGAGTACAAGGTACGCAACCCTCGTCAACACATTGTCAATCTTTACAACGTTGTTAAAAAAGACTTGTGGACGATAAATGCGACACCTCCTTGGGACAGATGGTCGCCCTCCCGGTGATAGAATAAGTTGCCGGATTCGAGGATTACCATGTCCTTCCTCTCTCCTTGGACCTCGGATAATCCTATAATATTCCAGAATTATAAAATATTTTACACGTGCACTAAAGATTGACTCAACTATTTTAAAATTGATGTCGATATTTATCTTGGATGTTTATATTGAATCGATAGACTTGCCCACACGACAAGAAAATAAATCCTTGGTTTGCGTTCTATAAATGTAATTTTATTTTGCCATTTGTCAAATAGATTCCCTACGGATTCTATAATTAGAAAAAATGGTGCAGGTTAATTGACGGATTGGTTGGAATCCAAAGAAAAACTCAATAATTTACAGCAAACACTTGAGAAGTATAAAAGAAAAAGTAGAATAAATTTTTTATTAAAAGAAGCCATTTCTATATTATTTGTACCGGTAAGTATAATATTGTTATAATAAGAAATATAACTTTCAAAACATTAGATAAAAATAGAGACACATTTTTATACAATATAAAACTGTAGTACATTAAAGATAAAACATCTTGAAATTATCCTAAATAAGCCATAATAAACCCGTTTAAGTTTCAATTTATCAATCAAAGAATGTTCTTACTTCACTACCCGCACATCACGGTGCAATATTCATAGCATCACGCTATTTTCCTCAAGGGGCTGCGCGGAGCTTGTTACAATGATAAAACTTTTAGCGTAGTTAGATATAATATTGTTACAAGCTTGGGGTTCGAGACAATTAAAAACTGCCGATTGAATTACCAAAATTGACACTTTAATTACAGAACACTAATTACAATTAAAAACCACACTAATAATAAAGCACAATTGTATAACTGATCACTTTAGTCCGCAGTTATTTCGCTTCGAAGTATTCGCTTGTATCGCCAGTTCAATACTGACTCGGTCGTGGTCTATACCGGCCTTATATACGGCCTCAGATAGTTTCCAGATCCTTCTACTGTAAACACATCTAGAATGTTCGAGTACATATCGGTCCCGAAATTTCTAGAAGGATCTTGACTCTCCTAGTTCTGCTACTCGATACTAGAGGGCGCCAGTAGTAACTAGTGTTCTCCTAAGATATGTTCGTCCCAAGCATTATTGGCCCCATAATAACGCGCCAGTCGATCCACATGGACGATCTTAGGAGTACCCCTGGCACCTTTCTGTATACGGTAGGTTACGTCCTTGTCACAATCCGATCCGGTCCGTCCCATTTAGCTTGAAGCTTAGGAGATTTCCCTTTGCTGCGAACTTGATTGTGTAACCACACTGGTGAATCTTCGTCAAACCCTTTGTTTAGGCCAAACAATTAACATTTGAAATTGGCATTCCACTCGTGTCCACCCGCTGACTTTGTAAAGGTCACCCTTGCCTCACTCCCGTGTGCGTCGCTCGGCAGACAGCGTGGGCGCAGAACGCGAGTGCGAAAGGTAGCACGACGGCGGCTGGGCAGTTAATTACTGTTTTTCGATGACCGCCGCTGAGGTTTCGCGAGACCGGTTTTTTTTTGGATTAGGGTCTAGAATTTTGGATTTTGTGCGCGTTACTTCGCTACGTAATTGTGTTTCGTGAAAATCGCCTCGTTTTAGGTTGTCTAGGGTTTAAGGTCTTGACAAGAGGCTTGTATTGTGTTTGACTGATTAAAGTAACTTCTTTGAAAGTAATTGTGCCGTCGCGTTAAGTGTGTTGCGCCCTTTTTGTGTGTTGACTGTTTTGTTCGTTTTACGTGGTCAACGAGGCGGATTTTGAATTCTTATCGCGGCGTAGTTTTTAGTATCTAACGAAGTAACTTAGTTGTGTTTAACGCGAAGCCATGTGACTCATGAAGAGATCGCCTTAGTTCCCTATTTATAATTTGGTAATAAGTGAATCCGGGACATTGAATGTGGAACTTTGAACTACTGTCCGTTACTGTGTCGGGTATCACGTGTTCCATTCTACGATGAATGTGGAATTATGCGAGTATAAGTTAGTTAAATGTACAATGAAGTTAATAGACTGAAATAGTGACATGAAGAAAGAAATGGTCCAGCGGGAAATCCTGCTGGAGTGATGCAGCATTGTGGGGTAGCATGGAAATCGGCCGCTGCCGGTCACCTCAGCTGGGCCAGGCCTCATACACATACACATAACTAAACACTACTTTCCATGCACCGTACACCCACCTACGGCCTGACCGTGCCTTGGGGCGATCTTAGATTCGGATACAGGTACGTACTATATTTTTCTAGCCTTCTTCCTACAGTTTAGTATGATAGGACATTTTTCCATATGGCCATTTGGGCTCGAACCCGAGGCTGTCCGTTGAATCTTCCGCTCATGGGCCCCGGGATATTCGATCTTTGCAGAGGCAGCTGCGGGCCGTAACACCCTTTGTTGTTTATTTTGCGGTCATACAGTGTTTTCATCTTCTCAGACGTTTGCTGGACCGACTGTCTGACGTGCTCATAAATGTCATTCATTTTGTTCCGCAAGTCATTTGCATAATCGGTTATACTGCGTGGGGCATCAGGTGGTCTTCCGGTGATCAAGTCTGCAGGCAGCCGTAATTCTCTCCCAAAGTTTGCGAAAGCTGGTGTCACTGATGTACTTTCGTGAACAGCGCTTCGATATGACAACAAAAACGGTTGTATGTGCCTGTCCCAGTCTCGTTGCCGTTTTCCACAACATTTGCTAGGTACCTCTCCAATGTCTGATTAAATCGTTCTACCATTCCATCAGATTGTGGGTGGTAAGAAGTTGTTCTTGTTTTATGAGTACCCATAACTCGGCAAGTTATGGGTACTCATAAAATGGAATATTTGAGATTGAAAATTCCTTCCTTGATCGCTGCGAATCTCTAAAGGTACACCAAAACGACAGAATACTTCATGAACTAGTTTATCTGCAACTGTTGAAGCTTCTTGATTTGGAATGGCGAAAACTTCTGGCCACTTAGTGAAGTAATCCATCACAACCATGAAATACTTGTTACCATTTTCACTTTCTAGAAACGGCCCCGCAACCTCAATGGCCATCTTCTCCCATGGTGCACCAACATTGTACAATTTCAATGCGCCTCTACTACGAGTTTGAGGTCCCTTTACAGCCGCACAACTTGTACATTTGCGGCACCAGTCCTCGACATCGTCACGACAGTTAACCCAGTACAAACGTTCTCGGATCTTCAGTAGAGTTTGTTTAACTCCCAGGTGGCCTCCTGAACAACCATTATGGTACAGCTGTAGAACATCCGGTACTTTAGCCTTAGGGACAACCATTTGCAAATGACAACTGTCTTCCCGACCATTTTCCCATTTACGGCACAGGACTCCATCCTGAATCAGCAAGTTGTCAGCGTAGCCTATATTCTAGTTTTTTTTGTTTAGATACAAAAATGCCAAATCCATTTTTATGAGGTTTAAACTGTAACCCATTTCCGATACAAAGAGCTTCCATTTTTTCACTGTGTCTCTTCAATTCAGCAAATTGTTTTTTAGCCATTTTAATTTCATTTATAGTTTTAAGTATACCAGTTGCACCACCTCCCTGTAAGACTCCCGTAGCCGGTAATCCAGCAAAAATCGGAATCAAAGGTACCACCAGTTTTTGGTATAGGAATAATGCAAGGAAGTTTTTTGAACAGAATAGTTCTCTAGCAGCAGCTATAGCTAGCTCAATTGCTGCTTTCTTGCATTTTGGTTTTAATTTTTGCATACGTCTTTTCGTTTTTGTCATGATATTCTTAAACTTATTTTTAAATTCATTCCCCAACTTTCTCGGATACATTTTATTACTATTACCATTATTTAGGCCAGCCCCAGTTTTAATTTTTGATTGCATAGCTTTGCTTACTATCTTTTCTGCTAACTTTTCTCCCAAATTTGCATCGGGAGCAATCTCTCGTGTATTTGCCATTTTTAACAAAACTAAATCCGCCTTATGTCGATCCTTTAATTTTGAAGATTTGTGATAGGCAATGTCGTGTTCTTTACAATATTCGTCTAATTTGTTTATACCTTTGACTCCGCGTGATAGTTTTTTGATTAAATTTGTATCAGTACCACAATAATTGTATCCTGGTAAATGTGATTCAAATGGTAAATTATTAATCAACCAATTGAGAAACTACTCTCACCAATGCTCATCATAAGATTGTTTAATCTCGCTTGGGATATTTATTAAATATACCAGTTTTCTTATTTGTTCTTAATATTAAACACAATGGTCAGTAAGTCAAATTTGACTTATCGATCCAACTGTTTTCAGTAGAAGACAAACCATTAGCCATTTTACTAAAACTTTATTTCCTTTCTTTCTTAAAACTTTTTCGACTAAATATGTGTTTGGATTTTTGGTCTTTTGTAGCTCTTGCGCATAAAATCCTTCTAAAATTAGTTGACCTCTAATTGCATTTTCAATTTAGTAAGTATGTCTTATGCCTGCCCATAGAAAAATAATTACAAATGTTGATTTGATTTTCACAAGCAACATCATCAAAAATAAATACAGAATTATTTAAAGCTTCATTTGGACCTATGACGTCTTTGTTATCATTGAACTCATGAAACGAAATATTAGTTACTCTCTTAATAGTTAGTTTTTGAATACAAGTAAAGATTTTCAAATTTAAGCCCATTTTCATGCAACAATAAACTTATCACAACGTTTGTTTTACCGCAATTAGAGGGACCGCATATTTTACAGCGACTAAGATAGTTTTAAGGTATAGATACGTCATACTCGCTCTAAAATGGCTATACGAAAGTCAGGTAATTGCCCGACTTGCATTCAGTCGGGCACGCTCTTGCGTAGCGGCTATACCTGCGCTACAGCGCGTAAATCTTCTAGTTATTCGTGGTAAAAATGCCTTCCTGTGTTTAAGGTGGTGCACAAATTGCACGGCAACTGTTAGAGACAAGAAAAACGTCTCATTAATATTTTGAATATAGATGTTTTGTTCATAATTCATATTCTTAGTGTGAGGTAGCTCTTTATACTGCACACAGTATTACTTCAGCATAGATGGAATAGCCTCCAACTCGCGAAAGTTAGAGATGCGCACTTCGATGTAATATTCTCCTCGCTTCGAAGGCTCGATCCGGTGCATATATCCCGAACCTGTTCAGAATGATAAGTAGCTTTTTATAATCCCCGCTCGGATAGGTTCAGAATCTTCATCCTGGAAACAATAAAAATACTATTTAAACAAAAGCATACTGATAAGCAATGAACAATATTTATATTCCCTCCTACCCCGCATAAATATATTTTATACGATGCTCATAATATGACTTAGTAGTCCAATTCACTAACAATTGTATCAATCACATCGATCGTCTAAGAATATAATTAAATACGTTTTCATAAAAAAAATTAACCTATTGTTACGAGCTTGGGGTTCGAGACAATTAAAAACTGCTGATTGAATTACCAAAATTGACACTTTAATCACACAACACTAATTACAATCTAAAATCACACTAATAATAAAACACAGTTCGCCGTTATTTCGCTTCGAAGTATTCTCTTGTATCGCCAATTCAATACTGCCCCGGTCGTGGTCTATACCGGCCTTATATAGGGCCTCAGATAGTTTCCAGAACCTTCTACTGTAGCGACATCTAGAATGTTCGAGTACATATCGGTCCCGAAATTTCTGGAAGGATCTCGACTCTCCTAGTTCTGCTACTCGACACTAGAGGGCGCTAGTGTAACTAGTGTTGCCATGTACAAGACATTAATAGTGGCGCGTAACACTGCCCCCTCCTAAGACATGCTCGTCCCGAGCATTATTGGCCCCATAATAACGCGCCAGTCGATCCACATGGACAATCTTAGGAGTACCTCTGGCACCTTTCTGTATCCGGTAGGTTACATCATTGATCCTTGTCACAATCCGGTACGGTCCGTCCCATTTAGCTTGAAGCTTAGGAGATTTCCCTTTGCTGCGAACTGGAATGTGTAACCACACTAGTGAACCTTCATCAAAGCCCTTGTTGTTCATTTTGCGCTCATACCGTGTTTTCATCTTCTCAGACGTTTGCTGGCCCGTCTGTCTGACGTGCTCATAAATGTCATTCATTTTGTTCCGCAAGTCATTTGCATAATCGGTTATACTGCGTGGGGCATCAGGTGGTATTCCGGTGATCAGGTCTGCAGGCAGCCGCAATTCTCTCCCAAAGTTTGCGAAAGCTGGTGTCACTGATGTACTTTCGTGAACAGCGCTTCGATATAACAACAAAAACGGTTGTATGTGCCTTTCCCAGTCTGGTTGCCGTTTTTCCACAACTTTTGCTAGGTACCTCTCCAATGTCTGATTAAATCTTTCTACCATTCCATCAGATTGTGGGTGGTAAGAAGTTGTTCGTGTTTTCTGAGTACCCATAACTCGGCAAGTTTCCTGGAATATTTGAGACTCAAAATTCCTTCCTTGATCGCTGTGAATCTCTAAAGGTACTCCAAAACGACAGAAGACTTCATGAACTAGTTTATCTGCAACTGTTGAAGCTTCTTGATTTGGAATGGCGAAGACTTCTGGCCTCTTAGTGAAGTAATCCATCACTACCATGAAATACTTGTTACCACTTTCAGTTTCTGGAAACGGCCCCGCAACGTCAATGGCTATCCTCTCCCATGGTGCACCAACATTGTACAATTTCAATGCGCCTCTACTACGAATTTGAGGTCCCTTTACAGCCGCACAACTTGTACATTTGCGGCACCAGTCCTCGACATCGTCACGACAGTGGACCCAGTAAAACCGTTCTCGGATCTTCAGGAGAGTTCGTTTAACTCCCAGGTGGCCTCCTGAACAACCACTATGGTACAGCTGTAGAATATCCGGCACTTTGGCCTTAGGGACAACCATTTGCAAATGACACCTGTCTCCCCGACCATTTTCCCATTTACGGCACAGGACTCCATCCTGAATCAGCAAGCTATCCCATTGGGCCCAATAGCTTTTCGTGGTCGAACTCATTGCTGAGACGTCGCTCCACTTGGGCTTAGGAGCACTGGCCTTCATCCATTCCAGAATCGGCTTAATGTCCGAATCTTCCTGCTGTGCATGTTGTAGGCTGTCCTTCCACTCATTGCTGAGCTGGTCTGTCCTGAGCATTCTCACAGATACCACTTCCTTACCCTCTTGCCTAGTACAATGCTTGCAATCTTTAGGGCAAGGTCTTCTTGACAATGCATCTGCATTGCCAGGAGATTTCCCGCTGCGATGTTCGATCACAAAGTCGTATTCCTGCAGTAGTTCTATCCATCTCGCAACTTGTCCTTCCGGATTTTTGAACTGCAATAGCCATTTCAGTGCAGCATGGTCAGTTCGTAAGTGGAATTTCCGCCCTAGAAGATATTTGCTAAAATGCTGCAAGGACTTTACCACAGCAAGCAATTCCCGTCTTGTGACACAATAGTTCCTTTCCGGCTTTGACAACGACTTGCTGAAGTACGCTATCACAATCTCTTGATCACCATTCCGTTGAGACAACACACCGCCAAGTCCTATATCACTTGCGTCTGTGTCAACTATGAATTCCTTGCCCGCATCAGGGTACCCCAAAATAGGTGTTTTGCACAGGCGGTTCTTGAGCTCCTGGAATGCAATATCGCAACTTTCATCCCAGCAGAATTGTCGCTTCTCCTCGGTTAGCTTGTGCAGAGGTTTGGCTATATCTGCAAAGTTCTTCACAAATCGCCGATAATAAGAGCACAAACCCAAAAATGCTCTAACCTGTGTCTTGTCTTTTGGGACCGGCCACTCCATGACAGCAGCAATTTTCTCTGGATCCGTGCGGATACCTTCTTCCGACACTACATACCCCAAAAAACTAACTTGCCGTTTGAATAGTGAGCACTTCTTTGGACTCAACTTGAGGTTGGCACTCTGGATCTTCATGAGCACGCGTTCCAGGTTTTGAAGGTGTTCCTCAAACGTACGGCCTACGATGATGATGTCATCCAAATAGACCAGACAGGCATCTCCAATTAGCCCGGTAAGTACAAGCGCCATCAATCTTTCAAACGTTGCTGGAGCATTGCACAATCCAAACGGCATGACTTTAAATTGCCACAGACCCTTTCCTGTGGAGAATGCAGTTTTCTCCTTGTCCTTAGGGTCAATTTCAACCTGCCAGTAGCCACTTTTCAGGTCCAGCGTACTAAACCACTTTACGCCTGTGAGCATGTCCAGCGTGTCATCAATTCTAGGCAAGGGATAGCTGTCCTTCTTCGTAACGTCGTTCAGGCGGCGGTAGTCAACACAAAAAACCGC